CCCCATATTTTCCTATCTCAAGCCTTCGATACTATAATTTCTAACTATTTCCTACTGGATTACTGTAAAGATGTACCATTCTGAGAGGATTTAATGAGAAGTGATTAAGACTACCACTGGCTTTCTTGTTGTGTTAGAATAGCTATCTTATCCGTTGATTGAATTTATTGGGCTCTAGCCAACTTGCCCTGTCTACTCAAAGAGCTATTTATCACGGTCTCCCACAAGCGTTTGGCTCCAATAAGCAGGACCTCGGGGCTCTGATGTTAGGCAGAGATTTGTATAGGAAACCAGCATAATATGGCTATATTCTAAATTTTCTTTCTAAACGTATTTACAAAACCAAAGTTAGAATTTCAACATATAAGACTTATTAGTAGGGGCTATTAAATCAAATATGCTAAGATTTCTAGGTTCATTAAAGTATGCCATAAAGATTAAGAAGGGGAAAGGTAAAATAAACATCTTAATGAAGGAAAACCTTTCATTTATATAAATTGACAATAGATATGGTACCGAGAAACAGCTATTTAAGATTATTCAATGAGTTGAACAAATTTGCGTGGTTCCTGATGTTGAAACTGTGTGGTATTTCAAAAACACTAGCGAACTACTAAGAACATAACTATAGAGTTTAAAAATGGAGAGCACAACCCTAGGTCATGTCTTCTTCATGATAATTTTCTGACCACTTTCCATATCTGGCTAATATTAGGCATTGTGCTGATTTGGTAGCGTATATGGGAAAGGTATCTGCCAGCTTAATTGGAAAATTTTAACTGTACACAAACTGTCTTCAATGTTTTATTGATCTAAAAATCGTCATAAGCTAAACTTTTGGTCAATATAGGTCAATAAAGTAATGATCTAAAACTAATAGCTTTGCAACATGTTTAGAAAGTACAGCTAAGCGAACGATGATGGAAACACGTAAAATGGTCAAAATAAAAATTTTTTTCATTAGAGACAAAGAGTTTATGAGATTGAGTGAGAAATGGCTTTGAATTTTGAATTGAACTAGGAAGAAAGACAGAATGGTTTAGTGAGAAAGAGGAAGATTTTCGGAAGTGGCTACAGTCCCTATTCCAGATTCAATGATAAAAGCTTGCTAGAAGTGAATTTAAGCAAATAGATGTTTAGCTACAACTACACTAGCTATTCTCTTCTGAAAACATTTATAGAGAAGCAAGAAGTAGTCAGCTAAATCAAACTATGTCTAAGTGGGATCAAAATTTGCACAACACTAAGTTTTCTAAAGAATGGCTTTCAGCGCTGATGTTGACTTTCAGGGCAGGACAGATGAAAGCTCATTCATCGGGTAATCAGGAGATTACACCGAAAACTTCTATACTAAAATCTAAATTCGCAACACAAGGAAACCCTTCATGTGTTTCCGGTGGAGCCAATTTATGAAGAGAATCCATCCAGTTCTTCACATGCAGACATTAGAGGCTTGCTCAGTGAGGCTGGTGTATACGTGCTATCAAAGGCTTGAGGCAGAGTGTAGAACATAGCACATTGAGTAGCATGGATACGGTGACAGCA